ACCGATCTGTCTTCAGTCGGCATCTACCATGACTACCATGGGCTCACTGATTATTTGGAGTCTTTCCCCACAATGGAAGTTAACCGAGGAAAATTTTAGAGATTGTATTTGATAAATCTATTTTAGTTATTTCTTTTTTACTTTGTCGTTATTATCCTTTTATTTCCAATTTTTTTTTTTGGTTTCAATTATCCCTTTTTCCACAGCACACGCCTACGCTTAGAAATCAAACTTTTTTTAAAAAATATGTCAGGTGATCCCGTTAATGACCTTTGGACCCCAAAACCACACATAGTACGCTTGGGTTGCCCATGGTTCAATCAGACACTGTTTTAGTATTGTTGTCCACGTCTGTAATCTAGACGGTGGTGCTTGACCTTTTACACCCTAACATCAGTATCCATATTCTCTATACGTTTATTTTGGTACAGGCAAGGAGAATTTGTTTTCCAATCAAAGTTCTCTGAGCTGGCAACCAATCCCTATATTCTCATGACTCAGCTGTATTATTATAAGAAGAAGTTAGATACTTGTCATTCTAAGGGTTTGAAGGGTTAAAGAGGATTTACCTCTAGTTTTGACTGATTTCAAAAATTTCTGAGACTGGACAAGTGAGATATACTCAAACCTGACTAAGCGATCATCAAACGGAAAATGTAAGCCGGTGATAATCTGATACAGGTTTCGTAGCCTTAAGAGTCATTCCCCACTCTATATATTTTGTTTGCAAGTTTGTTTGTTTGTTTTTTTTTATTCTTTTTTCACCGAGCTTTGATTAAATCCAGGCGAGTTTCTTTGCAGACACAATGATATTCCTTATCAGATCCGGATAAAGTACAAGAACAGGTTTGAAAATCTTACTTTCGACACAGATGAGTCAGGATGGCATACAGACATACCTCGACTGAAAAAAGGCAAAGTTGGCAGTCAGGTACTACTACAATGCTACTTGAAAACAGCCCTTATGTGGTTAGGTTATTTAGCAATGCTGTATTTAGAAAGAAACTTCCTTGTTTACAGCATAAGCTATCATTTCCATGTCTTCGCGGCAGACATGGAAATGACTGAACGTAATTCGATTGAAATCTCAATTGAACAAAAGCAAACCAACAGATGAGTAGTCTTCATACAGAGGATGGGTGTGTCACTGAATTGTGAGTCTGTTACAATAGAATTTGTATTCAAAATGGTTCGTGTAGCTTGATGTTTACAAAGGAATCTTAAGGATAAGGTAGACCTTTGAGGGCCAATTTTTTGAAATTTTTTTCCCATGTCAAACTAAGCATTATTATTTTAACAATAGTTTCCAAAAAAGGGCGGTAAATTATTAAAACCTGCGCGAGTTATTCACAAAAACATGTTTTCCAACTTAATAATATACATGAAAAAATTTCTCAGTTCTGATTGGTTAAGATGAATGCAGTTTTCAGTTAATTCAGTGCAGAAGAGAGTTAATTCAGTGCACAAGAGGGTTAATTCAGTGCAAAGAAAGAAACAAACCGAACATTCTGATTGGTCAGAATGATTGGTCAATGTCAATGTCAAGGTCAATGTCACTTGCAGGGTTTGAATAAATTATTTTTGCACGGGATGCGCGCGCTTTTCTTCTGCGAAGTTATAAGAAGCTACCTCGTATTTTTTCATGTATATTATTAATACATAATCACATGATTTCTTCGAGCAATTTGGAATAAATAAGCACTTGTAAATTTTTTCAAAGACCAATAATACCGATACCTTTGCTTATTTTCGTGGAAATGTAGTTAATATGGTGCTTCCAGGAGAGATTACCGTCAATTAGAACACCGAGGTATTTAACATATGTCTTACGTTCAAGAGATACCAATTGCTCTGAGTTCTCTATTTTAAGGTTTACTTCTCGGTATAGTTTGTGCTGAGAAGGATGAAAAATAACGAAATTAGATTTAGATAAGTTGAGAGATAATTTCTTTGAATTCAACCATTCACACAACTTTAATAACTCTTCATTGACGACAACTTCAAGTTTGTTTAGATCTTTTTCTGCATATAGTAAATTGGTATCATTAGCAAAGAGGTAAAAGTCAAACTTTTTAGAGGAATGATGCATGTCATTGACATAAATTAAGAAAAGAAGCGGACCAAGTACAGAACCTTGAGGGACTCCACACACTAATCTCTCTTTGCTGGAGACAATATAGAATCGACAGACAAGTATGACGAGAATCCTCTAATTCCATAGTGGTGTAATTTATGCAAAAAAATCGAATGATCAACAGTGTCGAAAGCCTTTTTAAGTCAATGAAAATGCCACAGGAATATAATTTATTATCAATGTTGTTTTGAATTTTATTTAGAATATCCAGACTTGCATGTCGAGTTGAGCAGTTCTCTCTAAATCCATATTGCGATGTAAAAAATATATCATTCTTATTTATAAAATATTTTAGGCGTTTGTACATTAGTTTTTCGAATATTCGATTAAACATGGACAGTAATGATATTGGGCGATAATATTGTTTGGGTCAGTTTCATCATCCGCTTTCTAAATTAGAATTACTATAGCGTGCTTTAATTTACGGGGTAGATATCAGTTGAAATGGACATGTTCAGCTAGGGTATGAGATATAGCTTGACGTGCGGACTTCAAAAGACGAACTGGACATGAATAAAGTCCGTAGGCTTTGTTTGATGGAGTACTCAAAATTTCCATTTCAATTTCAGTAGAAGTGACAGCGTCAAAGAAGAAAGAATTGGAGTAAAATGTGGTCAGCCAAAGGCGTAAATTGTTGGGAAGATTTTGAAAGAAAAAAGAAGCTGCTTTGTCTTTACACAAATGTGCTTTCTTTGAACGAATTAATAGGGATGTTAACGGAACAGATTGCCCTGAAATTCGGTAAGAAGACCTCCAAGATACCGACCTAAAAAACTGTGTGGGGGAATTCCGTTTTTCAACATGGATCTCCCACAATGGCCTCCGGCGCAATGCATTTGGACAAAATTTTTATCAGCAAACTTGACGGATAATTGCGAGGCAACCAATACGAATATCGTAAAGTCCCCAATGGTTTAGAAGACCAACACCTCAAGATGAAAATTTGCAGAAGTCTTTATATGTGTGGTAAGATTTGAGTGATTATTTCGCTCAAAATAACACCGTCCATTTCGAATTGTCGGGTCCCATTCGCTTTACGATAAGATCAAGCTGTAACGAAACAATTTTTGCCGAACAGTGCATTTCACACCCTTTCATTAATATATAGTTAATGGTGGTCATGCTTCACATGGCGCATACAAACATTTTTTCACGGAAGAAACCCGCGAAGGTCTACCTAATCACTGAATAAACGCTGTTTAGTTTTTTCGGTATGTTGAACGTTTTTGCTTAACAAACAGTTTGTAGTCACCTTGCAAAATGAAAATTCTTGTATAAAAAGTGATTGGTCATAATGTCTTAATTTGCTCTTGTACTTTTATACCCTCACACCATTCCGTTCCCGGGAATATTGTGAACCCTAATTCAAAATTGATGTTATATGACTCGCACAATCCTTGGCTTATGATATCACTTGTTATGTACAGTTTTGGGCCGCCTGGTCTTCATGTAATGTACGACTAAAAGATGCCGTCAGAATTGGCCTGGAACAAGTATCTGTCATACACCGACTGATTAACAAGTATTCAGATGACCTTGTATTTGTGAAAACAGCGCAAGGTATCAGAGATGCAAAGAAGAATGACAAGATCGGATCTCTGATTGGCTTAGAGGGTGGTCACATGATTGACTCGAGCCTGGCCACTTTACGAATGTTTTATAATCTTGGAGTCAGATATATGACGCTGACTCATTCTTGCAACACTGCATGGTAAGATGCCTCCTTTTCAATATTGTAAAGAAAAAAAAAATAGCAAGAAAGAAAGAAAGTCTTAGCACTCTAAACAACAAGCGTGTCTAGTAACAATGATAAGGTTGAGATCGGACTTCAGCATTATCAGGCGCCTCTGGCAGCCGCTTCAGTCCATGTAACGATCTAATTCGTTAATTCGCAAATTCTTTAGTATCAGGGTTTCTTCCTTATTTAGAGGAAAGCAGTACAACCTGATTAAATTACTCAAAGACCCAATTGCGAATAATCGATTAAGTATTGTCAGGAACTGAACTATGAGAACAAAATGTGTTAGTGCCTGCCAACTCTTCTGGGATGTTCACATATTTCAAGCACATCAATAAATGTCCTTCTCAATTATTCATTTGCATGTCTCAGTGAAACAAAGATTTTGGGTGTCTTTTGATGCATCATGAGTAGAAAAAAGATGCATTCTACAAAGACGAAGGACAACTTCTACAAATAGTCTAATAAAAATAGAAAAACTATAAGATGTGTGCCTCTAACTAGATTAAGATGTCTGTTGAGTGAAGCTATCCTCCTCACTGAGTTTTTTTCGGTCTTGGGGCTAATCCAGGGCTGATGGGTGGACAGACAAAGTTTCAGGAGAGATTCATAAAGGTCTTACAGACTTTGGAAAGGTAAACATTCAAATATAATCATGTAAATGGTTTCACACAATACGCTACACTATGCTGTAGCTGTCTTATGGTAGCATGAGGCGGAGTGCTTTGTGAGATTGGAAGTGGCCTCAGAGCTAATAGACTGCATGAAAATACTCATAGGCGAAAGGCATAGGATTTGTCATCAACGATGAAACGCACATTTCTCTAGTCTCTAAATATAGATCTTACTTTAAATTTCAGCTAGTTGTACTTGAGATGAACCGTTTGGGAATGCTTGTTGATTTGTCACACGTTTCCTTTAAGACGATGACTGACACTCTTGATACTGTCAAAGCCCCTGGTATGTAGTTGATGAGAAAGATTGGGAATTTGTTTTCCATCTTCCGTCTTGTTTTCCCTTTTTTTCCTTACTCCCTATAATCCAACAAAATATATTTGGAGCGAAAATATGCTCGTATTTGTCCATGGACATAATTTGTTCCTCAAGGCTGACTGTTTTTTCCTCGAGTCTCGCTCCCGGAAACTTTTGCATCTTGGAGTAGATAATGTCCCCAGATAATATCCGTGCATATTTTTGCGCCAAAACGAGGCTATTGTTTATCATTCTGATCCTCAATCCTCTCCTTCTGGCCCTAATCATGTCCGTGGGTATAAGTAGAGAGGAATAAGTCTGATAAGTTTGCTTATTGTTGTAACTTATTTCCAAGAAAATGCGCTGAAATTATAAACAAAGCTTTCATTTCAATTTTATCAATAGGATTAAATTGATTTTAATCTTCTCTACTTTGACTGGTCAATAAAGTCTGAGATGTATTTGGTTTCATAACATTTTGCCTTTGAAATCATTCTTAGTTATATTTAGCCATTCCTCTGCGTATGACATTCATTGTCAGCATGGCCGCAACGTTCCAGATTATGTCCTCAAGAGAATGGTGAGTAGCTGTTACTCGTGCCTATGATGTCATTCAGTTATCGCAGCAGTGTATGGTTGCTATTTAAGTCAGGAAAATGTGGGGGGGCAAAAATGGCTCTTAAGGGCAGAGGAAGAGCTGGAGACTTGTTTTTAAGTTAAGAAACGTTTTAAGACACACTTGATCAAAAACTTGTGCAACTATATTGCTTCTATTTCTTTGCTTTTTGTCATGACAGCCTGAGAATGGAGGAGTTGTTATGGTGAATTTTTACAGTGACTATATATATTGCAACAAGAGCGATCCATCAAAAAAAGATAATGCCACCTTAGAACACGTAGCAGGTGAGTAAAGAGAATTATTCATATAGTTTTTGGCGCAATGATACATTTCTCGCGAAGAGGAAATGATGAAGGGGGGTAGTTAAATGTATGCACCCATGTGGGATGCCTATTGATATTGACTGGCCACGTTCGAGCTGTTTCGACCTTATACATGTATAAGGTCAGATTCCCATGCAGAACTGTTAACCAGAATTGATAGGAGACACAGAAATGTAGTTAACTTTTATTTGGTTCCAGATCACATTGATCACATTAAGAAGGTCGCAGGGATTCATCATGTGGGCCTTGGAAGTGATTATGATGGTGTACCGCGGTAAGATACCTAAGTTCTTCCTTTTATTAATTTTCACTCGCTTCTAGTTACTGCGGATTCCCTCAAATTATCAGGGTGACATACAAACCTGTACCAGAACTTGTATGTCATTTTCCAATTCACGAAAACAAGTACTGTGTTCATCAATTAAGTACCCAACCTCGAATAAATTTTCACCTCGAATAAGTGTCCACCCTGTGGGCAGGAAAAGTTAATAAGCGTTCACTCCCACCACCCCCCTCCCCCTCACACAAAGGAAAAAAAAAACGTACTTGAAGTGGACAAGAGATGTATTTCTTTACTGGCTTGCAATTCGTAAATCAACCATCTTTGGTACAAGTTCTATTTATTGTTTTGTTACAAAATGAATCAACAATACGTAGAAAAAGGTGAAAATTTTAATAAGGGCTCAGCCTCGAATAAGCGCCCATAAGTGTAATGAGCACCCGAATAAACAGGGTATCTTAAGTCTTTTCCAAAAATTTGTGTCTTTCAGCTTACCAAAAGGGCTTGGGGATGTAGCAAAGTTTCCTGATCTTATTGCTGAACTCTTGAAACGAAATTACACTGAAGATGAGGTGAAAAAGGTGGTTGGTGAGAATCTCATCAGGGCTTTTGAAAAAGCTGAAGAGGTCGGTGGAACATTAGCAAATTAGTATATTATGAGATGAAAACCTTTTTGCCTTATTGGAAAGCATAGCTGCCAGATGCTTTTAAGCGTGGCTGAAGCTACAATCTTGGACAAAACTGTTGAGACAGTTACACAAATTTCATGTCAATTTGCACTTCACAATATTAGGACAAGACATTCCCTTCCCCCCCCCTCCTCTTCAATATTGTATATCTAGGGTAGGTGTTTTATAATGACTTTTTCTTAAGATTTCCAGCAACATTGACTTCGGGGAGGGGAAGGAGGAATTCAAATTTTTGAGAACTGTTATTGATATTTTTTAAGGGATGTAATCCAGGTATGTCGCGAAAGGTTTGGTCCAAGTTTGTAGGTTCGCTACAACCAGTTATAAAAGTAGTTGAGATATGTTACTTGGACAAGAGAATTTTTCACCGTGTGACCCAACATGATGTATCACCGCACTCCCCCCTTTACAATGTTGGTAGCTAAGGGGTACCATGCATAAAACTTCGATGAACAACATTGAATCGCAGAAGGGGGCAGCTTTTAATTTCTCTGCACTAAATTTGTTCTTGGCCATCTTATGAAGTCGGTAAATGCGCTTTTTGGGGTCTCAACATTTTTGGAACTGGTTGTAGGTTCGGGATTGAGTCCTGTATGGTTCATTAATTTTGTCTTTTTCCGTAGGCGCAATGTTTATCTCATTCCTTTCGAGAGTTAGACGTGATTTTTATTATATAGGTGCAGAAACGTTTAAAACGCGAGATCATAAATGTTGGGGAAAGGCCCTTGCTCTCGCGAGTCTCTTTGTTCAATATGTGTTTGCGCTTCAGTTTTTTTTTTTGTTTTTCATCTCAGTAATGCGTTTTGGTGAGTTCGGGATACCGTTTAGACCCTCGTTTTCTTATCTCAAAGTTGGTAGGCTCCGGTGCGGTCTGAAATCAAACAAGTGATTTATAAAATCAGGTGACAGCGAAACGAAAGTCCGGTTAGTTAATCACGAGTAGGATCACATTCAGAATCGGACGACACATATTCCTGTCCGAAGAAAAAAAAAACTATAAAAAAATGCAGGAAACAAAGCACCCTTTGGCATGGTAGGCTAAAAAACTCTGATTACACTGCGTGTAGATGGCGGGTATTGAACAATCAACACAATCATGACGTATGAACTGTCCCATTGTGCCTGAAATTACCAATCACGTTCGTGAATGTTGTTATAGTTTTGATAACACTAGTAGAATTCGAGATGAATGTAAGGGAAATGAGAGGCGACGGCCGATAGTGATCCAGGTTTGCAGAATGGCGTTATTATGCTAGACATGATCATGAAATATCTTGGTGTAGAAACTCCACAAAACTTGACTGGATGTAATTAATTTTGTGCTTTTCCTTCTTCGTGAATATCGTTGAGAGCGTTGTATATTTGAGAGTTTGTAGTCTTTTAATGTGACTGTTTTATTTTAGGTTGCTAAAGAACTACAGAAGAAACAAGCTCCATTCGACGAGTATCGATTCTTCTCCAATGTAACTTGCAGGCCGAATTACGGAGGTGGTTTGACAGGTTGGGTTCCAAGATACAATAGAACAATCACAGCTGTACCTTTGGTAATCTGATGAACTGTCTAGTAAAGTTGAGAACTGACAGGATTTGCAGTAAAGTGAAAGAAGCTTGTTTGGCTGGGCGACACAAAACCAAACAAATTTACTCGATACATTTTAGTAACATAGCTATATAATTGACAATCAAAGGTAATTGTAGTGGAGGTTTCTATAATGATGACTCAATCTGTACACCAGCCAAAAGCGATCTCGTTCCATATTAGTCTTAGTGTGAAAAAGAACCAAATAAAGTAAAACTAAAACTTCCAAGCTATACACAACTTTATCGGGGTCTATCCGTCAAAGTACCTGACGGTTACACATCAATTATACTATATTATTGGAAGAAGTCATTGCTGCAGTGTCAGAGGGATAATAGGGTTAACAAAGCAACAATGTGTAGAGATCCGGCCGAGAAAATTCCTTTGATAGGCAATTGTCTTTAAATCCTGGGTACAGTTGGTTTGGTTTTTTAACTAAATATCCCATAATCCCCTCCAAGTACTCCGATGGTAATTTCCAACAAATTCTTCGCCGGTCTTCACTCTGCCCATGGTCTTTCTTTTTAAGCCGGCGACACACCTGGCATTCAACTTCTCCGCGATCGTTTGATCACGGTGATCGGCGAAAAGAATCGCCAGGTGTGTTGCTGGCTTTAAACCATTTTTTGGTAAGAAACCCTTTTCAACTAAGTAAAACAGTTTTGATTGAAACTCCGGACAGTAACTTGTATTAACGAATAATCCCTAAACTAGTAGTTTCAATGTAAAAGTGGGTGCTGGCTTCAGAGATTGAAGGATCTCCATGAAGTAGGACTTGATCGATATCTTGACACCTCCATTCGCGAATCGGCAAAAATGCTCACATAAAATCTTTTATTTTCCTCATAAAACACATAAAAATCTCTTATTTTCCTCGAGTGTCGACACTAAACCATTCATGACCTTGATGAATACTTCCACAAGCAATTAAAGACATCTGTATTAAAAAATCACCTCCTTGATTTCTAGGGACGGCTGTACACAGCTATTCCTCGAAATCGATCGATATTTCCACGTGCATTTTACGTGATGTCATCACAAGAACCCCGGATATAAAAAAGCAATCCAACTCGCATGTCTCCGATCCTACATCCGACAAAATTTAGCTTTTACTCGCTATTGTAAAGAATAGGCTGCTGCCTTGCGAGGGTTCGCCGGCGATAATTCAGTTTATTTGGGTCGAATGCTATCACTTGATTGATAAGGCTTATTGACTCCGAGAGAAACAAGCAGATATCTGGGGAGAGAGTAAAAGTAATAGCACCAGAGGGCAGCGCGCCATAGATTCCAGGAAAGGAGAAGGAGGAAAATGACTAACGGTAGTCTTATATTTGTCCTTATATACAACCCGTAACAGTGGTATCGCTTGACGTAAAGAAATTTCACACTGAAGTAGGAAGGACCTAATAACAGGTTTTCTATCTTACTCCATGCGACACAAGGTTACTTCCCACCTTCAGATACCAAAAAAATCACTTTTCTTTTTATTTGACTAAATTGAAGTAAAAAATTTTACCTAACGTTTCCGCATAAAATTAAAAATCTGCAAAAGCGTCGAGTCATATAGAAAAACGTATTTTTGAATAAAAGTTAATAAATCAGGAAGGTGTCATAATCTTTTAACCTGGGCGAGCCTCCTCGGTAAATTATCGCGGCAACCGCTCCTCTTCATTTGATTTGCATATTTTGTTTATATTGCGCGCTTGTCAAAATTTACACGTAGAAACTCTTTGCTTGTGGTAAGATCTTTGCTCATGGAAAACTGAAAAGCAGAAAAACGTCCTTGGGTAAAAAAAAAGACAAAAACAAAAAACAGGCCCAAAGAAGAAAGAGGGGTACCATTCTGTCAAGAAAAGTAAAAATCCTTGGTAAAAGCGACTGGTACTCCGCTCCACGCTGGCGTCCAGATTCCGAACAAAGAGGTCACCGTTAAACCAAAATTTATCATACATTAAGTTAAAAACGAGGTTTCTTTTTACGTATGGAAGTATCAGCCTTGATACAAAAACATTTACAATCGGCTCGAATAGTAATTTTGAAAGCTGTCTGTCAATTCGTTGTCTTGCTTCTCAGCACATCATCTGGTGTTTCCCTTTTTACCGCGGGTTTCTAGGTTCTCTAATATTGTGTTGTTTTCCTCAATGCTCCATTGAGCGATCGAGATATGAAAAACATGTTTGCAATGCGTTACTTTTCCCGGGAATTCTTGATCATTGACGCCAGGAGTTCCCGTTGTTCCATTTGTTTGCCGGTTTCAGGAGGCGAGATAATCTCCTGGTGTGGAACAAGTAGTTTACAAACCTTTAGGAGCTCAAATCTGGCATTTGATTTCGAGAGGAATACAAACATTTGAGCGAATTTAAAGGACCGATTTTCGTAAAATTTCGCCAAAACAATCTAGGGATAATGAGAAAGGAAAGTTTGTTGAGAAATTCTAGTATCTGAAATATTTCATGTCTCGCATATTTACGCTACTCTAACTTTAGGCGCGGATATCAAGACAACCAATCAGAATTTCGGAAAAGCCCGACACACTTCGTTGATTAAGGCCTTGTAAATAAGACTGTGCAGCCATACTGGCTCCTGACACGTCCTACATAAAAAATCGCATAAGTTACATTTTTATCTTAAACAACATTTATTTAGCTTTCTTTTGATGTATAACTTGTTGGGATTTTCTTTCTTCAACTAGCGCGCGTAAGAATTTTTTCCCGAAGAACACCCGCGAAGGTGGGAAGTAACCCTAATGTCTCATCTTCCTCAGAATCAGGAACCAAAGGATCCCAGCAAAATCAACAGCATTTCAAGCTATTCTAAACCAGGTAAAACTGAGCAACGTCGGCATAATCTTTCTGCGTCCTTCGACACGTATGACAACGACTTTTTCTCCCGCGATGAAAATTCTGATTGATGCTTTAAGTATGTTACCTATCTCCTTGCGGAAATATAATGCTTCACGGTTCGTCTGCTAGATCCGTCCCATTATTGTTTCAAAAAACAAACAACTCCACCCTAGCCTTATTAGAAAACTGAATTCCATGTCATCTATCGTTATTCTGCATAGTTTGTTCCATGAGCTCTGCGATTTCATGGTTTCCACACTTGTAAGCAATATCCAGAGGCCGCCTTCCATCGCTATCCAAAGCTTTCATATTGCTGCCATGTTTAATCAGGAGCGTTGCCACCATGACTGCATTACAAGCCGCAGCGACATGCAAAGGAGTACTGGCTTGCCAATCTAACGCTTCTACATCAGCTCCACGATCCAGCAGGATATTTGCAATGTCATCTCTGTCTGACTCCGCCGTCCGGTGAAGTGGGGTGTTACCTTCATTATCCACTGAACGGATATCACAGCCATGTCTAATGAACAGTTCTGATGTGTCACATGTCCAGCGTGACCTGGTGAACCTGAGGTGTTCAAAAGCAACACACACCCTTACTTAATAAGAGTTAGTAACATGTCAGTAACATCTTGGAGTTGCATTTTTACTTTATGATTCTTTCTAACTTGTGCTCTGTTGTTTACTGGTAGAAACCTCCCTGTAAACAGGAACTCGGTGGATGATGAACTCGATGATGTTCAGTAATGTGATTGTTGACATCTCCTTTCCTCGCGGCCCGATTGTGTTCAGTCAGTCTTGTTGTGAGGTTCCTACCAGTCTCCACGATACAGAAGCATTGGATCTTATAAATCGCTCTCTTTCTGTTTATAAGTTCGTGCTTGTCTTTGACGTTTGTTGGTAATGAAGTGTTGGGTTCATGGACGAAGCGGATATTGAGGGGTTGTAGGATGCGTGAGGTGTTCTCAGACATGCCCTCTCTGTACGGTTTAGTCGCTGTAATCGTAGGAGTTGGGGTATCGTCTGTTTCGGTAGTTGCAGTTTGTCGGTGGTATTTCGTCAGATAGGGTCGTTGTTGTGGTTTTTCTTTGAAAAAAAACGGTCAAGGTATTTGTTCACGTCGCATAAGTTGTCAGTCGTGTTACACACCAGTTGCGAACGTCGTGTTAGAAGTTATCTGGTTTGCACGACATAATTCCAATTCAGAGTTAAAAAAAACACATCGTTGTAAAGCAGCACCGTATAAAATGTATTGACCTCTTTAACTTCAAGTCTATTGTTTGCTTTCGCTTGATCTCCAGGTTATCCTGTTAAATTTCCATACTAATAAATACGCAAACTCTTGCAAACTTAGCATACTGTCCAACGGACAAATGACTGAGTTGAGGAAAATATAAGAAGTGAGTTGTCACTCACTTTGCTCTTGAGCGTTCACACTTCACAGCGCAGATGAGATGCAGAGGGGTGCTTCCCTGATTGTTCCTTGCACGAACATCTGCTCCGTTTCTCAGCAACAGTCTGACTGTGGTGGGATCAGTGGTCCATTCAGCCATCAAATGCAGTGCGCTGTTACCATCAACGTCAGTTTTCTTGACGTCACAACCTTTCTCGACCAATAGTGCTACAGTATGGTATTTCCAGACGCATTTTCTACAGCCGTGTGTGCATTCACACCTGGCGGTGATTGCTTTGTGAAGGACACTTTCCTTTCGCTTGTTACACTTGGTTATATCACAGCCATTTTGTAACAGAAGCTCTGCAGTGTGTGTGTTACGGTTGTTTGCAGCTAGGTGGAGTGCTGTGTTGCCATCAATGTCAACGTCGTGAACGTCGGCGCCTTTGTGAATCAGTGCTCGAGAAATCTTATGGTTTCCCTTCAGCCCAGCCGAATAATGCAAAGCTGAGCGACCCAGCTTGTCCCTCACTTTAATGTGTGCATTGTTATCGAGTAAAAGTTTTACGATAAGATCAGGCCCACGAGAGAATCTTATAGCTCGCATTAATGGCGTACAACCTTCAATGTCCATCGCATTTACCTTACTGCCATAATCAAGAAGCTGTTCTACAATTTTAACTGAAGAGCTTTCGGCCGCCATATGCAGTTCTGTTCGTCCTTGTTGATCTGTCTCACCCACTTTACTTCCAAATTCAAACAGCAATTTTGTCATGGCGAAGGTGATGCGTTCATTTCCAAGGAAGGTGTGAAGATTGGTGTACACGTTATGAAGTGCTGTGTAACCTTCTCCGTCAACTAAGTTCACAACAGCACCTTGGTTCAGTAACAAAGAAGCAATTTGAGAATGTCCTTCACTTACGGCCAGACAAAGCGCCGTACGTTTAGCGCCATCACGAGCATTGACGTCACTTCCATAACGCACCAAAACTTCCGCCATGTCGATGTGATTATCTCCATATGAGCAGGCTATGTGCAAGGGCGTCTGGTCATCGCAGTCTTTAGCCTCACGCGGAGCACCTCTCTGTAGGAACACTTCAGCCAAACTTGTTTTTCCATTCTGTGCTGCAATATGTAAAGGAGTCAACAGGCTGTCGTTAGCGGCGTTTAGGTCAGCTCCATAACGTAATAGGAGCTTTACTACGTCATCACTGCAGTATGCAACTGCAAGTGACAAGGGTTGGTCACCCGTGACTTCTTCAGCATTAACGTCGCCGCCGTTTTGTATCAATAACTCGGCGATTTCTGAATGGCCTTCCTGAGCGGCAAAGTGTAGTGGGGTTTTGTAATTATTGTCATTTGCATTGACGTGGGCCCCCTGCTCCAGCAATAGAATGGCGCAGTCTTTCTGATTGTAGATCACGGACATGAATAATGAAGTTTGACCCTCGTGGTCACGTGCCTGCACGTTCACCCCTCTCTCAATCAACAGCTTCACCATGGCAACTTGTCCTTCTTGGGCAGCGTAATGCAAAGCTGTTCTTCCAAATATGTCATGCACGTTGACGTCGCTACCATAGCGAAGCAAAAGCTCGGTAATCTCCCTGTGATTTTTGAATGAGGACAGGAACAAAGGTGTTTTTCCCGAGGCTCTTACGTCCACATTACTTCCCCTTTGAAGAAGAAGGTGGGCTAAGCTAATGTAACCTTTGTCAGCTGCTAAGTGAAGTGCGGTAAATACCATTGGATCTGTAGTATTAACACAACCACCCTGAGCCAGGAGAAACTCGACTGTCTCATAATTTCCTTTCGCAGTTGCCAACATAAGTGGTGTGTGACCGCTAGATGACCTTGAATGGACGTCAGCGCCATGTTCAATAAGGATAGCAACTGTTTTGGTGTGTCCGTTTTGGGCGGCAAAATGTAATGACGTCATCCCTCGATCACTAACATCACTCACACCACAACCAGCTTCTATTAACAAGAGAACAGTCTTTGATCGGCCGTTGACTGCAGCATAATGAAGAGGTCTCATTTCATGTTTATCTTTAGCATTTACATCGCCTCCCTTATTGAGGAGAAGCTCTGTAAAAGCTATAGTATTACGTGTAGCAGCTAACATCAACGGCGTGACTTGATCCGTATTGCGTGACACTTCATTTGGGTCTGAACCAATGTCGAGAAGTCTCTTGAGGTGTTCCATCTTTCCTATTCTGGAAGCGATATGCAGCAACGACTTGGACTGAAATTCAAGATATATAGGGACCAGAATCGCGTGTATTCTCGCGCTATTGTCGCTCTGGGATGAGCCTCTTAATTCTAGTGCGTTTTTTCCTGGGTGAGATGAATGGCTCTCTGTGTTGATAGTTAAAGCAATAGCATTGTCTAGTTTGCCAGGACTGTAGTTCGTGATTATTTGAACAGTTTCTAAATCACCTTCCAAACACGCAGCATGGAGTACGCTCAGTCCTCTGCGTTCATTTGTCGCCGTTGCGGCCTGGAAAGCCAGTGATCGTAATGACATCTGAAAGAAAGGTAGATAAATAATGCAAACGCCGGTAAGGTTCCAAGATACCCCTGAGGGCTGATTAGTTCCCTAAAGAAAAATTGGTTAATTTTTTATTTTTGATTCAGGCTGGCGGACAGCGACAGTATGACGTTAGAGTTACTGTGACATTTAATCGAGATTATGCACATACCCGAATCCCTGGAATCCCCCGAATCCCTCTAATGAGCACCCTCCCCCGAGTAAGCGCCTTCCCCCTAGGCCATAATGTCAAACAAGTGCCCCTCTCGAAAAAGTGCACTCCCTCCCTTATTATCTAAAATAAAGTCGAACCTGCTGTAAGCGATCACCAAGTATAGGTGGTCGCTTACGAGAGGTAGTCGCTCACCAGAGATCACGTTCTTTGGTACCGCTTCGCCACAACTTTTCTGTTCAATACAAGATTGATACAGTCAGTACTAACAAGCGCCCTTCATGGCAGCCACATGTTTTATTAATGCTCGCCGGCTTTTCCCTTTTTTCCTTTACTGTATCGTTTCTTATTTTGTTCAGTACAGCCACGATTTTTGTTATTCATTTAATGCGCGTAACCCCGTTTCTTGGAAGCAAGGAATCATGCTGGTAGGCCAATTCCACTCCAACTTATCACTTCCATCGATAAAAGTCGGCCAGTGCCGAGGTCAATCCTTCTTCGCCGTGGATTGATTGCTTGCTTGGTCAAGACATGGGTATTTACGCATAGCGGCTCCTGATTTTGAACCTGCGTTCGACATTACAGTGTGTATTGATGTAGCTAATAATCCAGGGCCTGATGTGGAAACGCCAAAACTTTTGTTGCCTACCGTGAACACCTCCGAGCCGTCATCTTTTCCGGGAACATGTTTGCGGTACACAAGATCAGCTTTTTTCAAGTTGCGCAGTTCTTCGAAAACCACATTTAGAACTCCCATATGGGCGAACTAAAAAATGTTGGTTTACTACACTACCATGGAAAAAGAGGTAATTCTCGCCGCCATAGTACTAATCATAGTAGTGAGTCTTTAATGGTCGGTAAGAAATGAACGTCATTCAAAGATCCAGATTCCTACCGTAGTGACATCAATCGTCGGCGTTCTTTACGTTCTGAACGCGGGCAACCGGTTCGAATTGAAATACAGAGGAGGAACGGAACAGTCTTGAAAACAAGTCAAGCTGGTTATGCGGTCCCTAAATGTTGTTTTATGAAGACAAAGAACAAAGTTAAAGCAAACATTGCGCTGGAAGCAGATCTTTACGCAGCCGATATTGACATCTGCGTGGCATCCGAGACCCACCAAAAAAAGGTTGTACCCAATGCTTACGTCGCGATCACGAATTACACAATATACAGAAGAGATTGGGATTGGTTTGGAAATGACAACAGGGCAAAGGGTGGAGTTGCGGTGAATATTAGAAATTCTGGTAACCTCAAGATTCTGGATGTCAAGCGTTCTGAAACTTTTGAGTGCATTTACATTACAATACAACTGCCTTCAAACCATAGAATGATGATTTGCGGCCTATATCATCCCCCCAAACCGCGATACATAGAAGACTACTTGATTTCTTATCTAAGTGACATATCTGATCAGTTCTTGGACGGTTCTCCAGATGGCACTGTTATGATCGGCGGCGATTTGAATAATTTAAATCTCGACAAACTCTCACTGACGCTAAGCGGTCTCACAACATTGGTTGACTTCCCCGCGAGAGGCACGTCTATTCTAGACAACTGCCTGACAAACAATTGCAGCTTATTCTCAAAGTGTTATCCCTTTGACGCTCAAATAAAGACTGATCACAGAGGCGTTATTGTGCATGCAGGTGCGAAGCTTAAGCCCATGAGATACAAATGCACAATGCACGATTACAGGGAGCATAGAAAAATTGCGTTTCATGCAAAAAATTCTAGAACTAAGCTCGGACGTTATTTTCGACAGCGAAGATGTGGAATCTGCTTCTTGTTACTTGCTATCAACGCTCCGTGACCTTATGAATGAAAACTTTCCGGCTAAAACCGTGCGTATGTTTACGAGTGATCCACCATGGATAACTCCGCTGGCTAAAGCGCTGCTTAAGAAAAAGCCAAGGCTAAATGCCGCAGCCCGAATGGATGCTCAATCAGTCTTAAAGAAAGAACTAACGCGATAGTTTCAGAAAATCGTAAATTGCTCGCGAGTGGAAAGTTGGGTTCTAAGGCTTGGTGGAAAAAGGTTCATGTGTTGTCAAAAAGGAAAGAAAGTTCTAAGTCAATGTTTGACGAGAGCTTTTTGAGAGAACTTAATCATTATTTTGCAAATTTATGCCACAATGAAGACTACATCAGTCCTGTACGCATCGACATCAAGGAAAACATTCCTGCACCACAGCTCACACTTAGCTAGGTTTACCATGCTCTGCTCAAAACAAAGCAAACATCTACCGGCCCAGAGATAATTTACCATTCTGGGTCTGGAACATCCTCGGAGACCCAGGGGCTGAGTCGATTTCAAGTTTGGGCATGAAGAGCCCCTGGGGACATTGTCT